GGGGAGGGGGGATGTAGGGGGCGCCGGCCGGATGTCACGCACGGCGCGTCACTACAAACCCCCGCGGGGCTTCCGTTCCCCGCCCCCCTTCTTTCATTCAGTCCCCGCCCCCGCGGAAGCCAGCGCGTTCGTCGCTTACCGAGGAATGTTCGCTCGCACACGGCCCGATGCAATGCTCTGACACTAGGATTTATTTAACCGCACTCTTATAAATCATGTGCTTGTCCAATCGGGAGCTTGTACGTCCCCCTGTTAGTGACGTCACTGTAGCGACATGTAAGCTCCCGATTGGATGAATCCGCAACAGCTGATTTACGTCAAGTGCACGACTAAATAAATCGTACTATACTCGAAGTTTGGGCTTGGAAGAGCACACAGTGAGGTTATTATAAAGGTAAATTATAACCGTTTGACGTAAACATGTCCGGTATGGGAGGCTGGTAATTGGGATGATGTAGAAACTCACAGCGATGTTGGGGTTTCGGAGTATGCGTCGATTTGGATGAAGTTAAATTTTATCCACATTATGTAAGTATAACCTTATTCGTTTTCTTCTTCAATAGTAAAAACTTCGAATACTGCATGTATCCTTACTTTCTCTATCTTTTACTAATAGCGCGGCATGTAGAAGACCAAGAATAAAAGATTTGGTAATTGAGATGAAGTGGGATCCATCACCATTCATCATATTATTACACAATAAAGAGTATGAGCTACGAAGTTAGCGTATCATATTTTCGACAATGCAGTTAACATGAATAAAATTTCACATGGCACAAAGTATTGATATCATGATAAACTATGTAGAATCAAAAAATATATCCATAGTCACTTTTTCCCTCTTCTTTTGAGATGTACGCTATTCAAGAATAGGATGATTCAAGCAATTTAGAGAATGAGTCATAGAAATCGAAAACTAAGCAGCGTTTTGTTATTGAAGCCACGGGTTTCATACGCTGACGTGTTTCAAACGACGTCACTGTTTTCACATCTGATTTTTTTTTTACATATCTGATTTAGAGTAATATGTTAAGTGATTTGTACAACGAGCCTCTTCCTAATCTGTATTTCCTGGTTTTCCCAATCATAATAAGAAACTGCATTTAGTTAGAGGGCAAAAATGAATGACGCTCACCATTCAGCGCATTTGTTAACGTTACACGTTCTGGCGGAGTGCCAAAATTTCATTCTTTAGTTTCCAATGAGAAGAGAAAGTCAGATGCGAGCATGTTATAGAATTCACAACCATGTTGTTTGAGAGGGAGTTTCATCGTATTTTTATATTTGATTCACTTGTAGAAAATTATTAGTAGGAAGACAGGCTTTATGTAGTTCACATAACAGATCAGGAAATTGGTGTATGATTAACGACACTACATTGAATAATTCATTACTCTCATATTATATCGTTCCTAAACGCTTTTCTAGACAAGAAAGTCCCGTTAAATATAATTAATGCGATCTTTCAATGGCCAGTAGTTCACCTTACATAAAGGCTTTTTTTACGAACTTGCCTCGAGATGAAATCTTTCTGCAACACATGTACAGGTGAAAAAGTGAGAGGAAGAAGTTGTCAAATAAGGATATCTTCATGGAAAATATAATATATTAAGAGCCCTTTCCTGAGTGTTAATTCCAAGAAACTTAGTAACGGAGTTGGAATACAATAAAACTATCAAGAATATCATTGAACAATCATGAATTAATATCAAAATATTAAGAACATTATAAGACAATTGTACTTTATTTTGCAATTACAGTTAACATTTTTTAAGATTATAATTTATTTGTCGGAAACATCGAAGAATATTCAACCTACAAAATCGTAAATCGGTATTAGATTGTTGAAGGTGCCACTACTGTTTCTATTTTTTAAACAAAATGTCCAAACTTGGTTTAAATTCAAAAAGACGAAAATAATCTACAGTAATGTACAGGCAACACTTGTCACAGGATAAATTACATCGCAAGGTGTATGCAGAATAATATAAACACGACCTTCAGGGTCAAGGTGGAACTGGAAATGTCAAAGAGTTGTTTAAAGGCCATGCAACGTATGAAAACACAACAAGCTGTGGACAGCTTTCCTAGAACCTCCTCCTCGAATATCTCTCAAGAGAACCAAAAATATTAGCTTTCACAGCGCGAGAAAAATGAAACAAGAAGACCGAAACTCGACGAAAACAACAACGCGCCCCGCACTATTTAAAGACGTCAGGACGCGACAACAGTACAGCGTCTTCGCGTCACAGAAGAAACTCATAGACAAATTCGGTATACACTGTACAGATTTCATGCAGATTGCACGTACAGAAAACGTGCAATCTACTGCCCGTTGTCTGCATGAAAACTTTTGAGCATGTTCGTTCTTTTTCCGTGCAGGAAGCTTTCAGTTTGACTCACACCGCCTCTAGCGCCAGAATTGTTCACTAAGGAATTTGTTTACCTGAAGCGACGGTAATCGGCCATTTCGGTGTTGTGGTTAGGTGTGTGAATATCTATAACTCCACTCAGCGATTAAGTGGAGTGATAGTGTGATAAAGTACCTTTTTACCCCAATTCCTGCCTTCCTATTTTTCTTCTCTATGCTCATGGTTAATTAATACTAAATAAAGATCAGAGCCAGAACGCATGCACAGAAATACTACCACTGAAAGAACACGGACGGCGCAATGCAGTTGTTTCTCATTAGATTCACTATCGGCGGCTTGTGGCGATTTGTACAGAAAATGTACAGACCGTGTATTCGCGATTTTTGGCTTTTATACCTCCAGTTTGGGAATGCTAAACTTAGACAACATCCATCTTTCAGCAAATACTGTATTTTGTTTAACGGAGGAGGTTGGAACATAAACAGAAACCATTTCAAATCCACAGGCATTTTTGCAAAGAAAATATTGTCTTTAATCACAAACACGTTTAATTCGCATTTTACAGTTAGTGTTATACAATGAAGTTTAATTTTTCTGCTTGAAATTGCTTTATAATTAGACTATGTCTGACAAATGTGTAAGTCGTCAGATGAATGCGCATATTTTGAATTTATTTTTTCAGTATTCTGGATGAGTCTTTCTGCATAATTTTTCGAGGAGCAGAATGGAACCGCTGTTCACGACAACCGGTTACCTTAAGACGACTGCCGTTCTCATCCAGTGGATCTAGCAGATTTAATATTTACATATAGTATGTTTATCTGTAGAGTGTAAATAGTAAATAGATTATCAACCCACGTGTTTATGTGTGACTTCATTCCCATTGTAACAATGTACTTTTTGCGTATAATATTAATAATAATTAATTTGAACGGACAGCAAAATAATTAATTTGAAATTGTCTATTTAGTCTCTACTGCTTTTACTTTGATGTTATACACATTATTTGGAGTAATGTGTGCAAGACATGTCAACTCAATGTTACTATGCTACTCAGTACGTAAACAATTTTGCCTAATGTTCTATGTAAAGCACACTTTGTAAATACAAAAATAGGGAAATTAAAACAGGCAAGAAAATTGTAGTTTACACGAATAGATCTCACAGTCCGCAATAATTTTAAGAGAATTAATGGCGTATGGGAGATGCTGACGGAAAGAATACAGTGACTAAATATCCACATACCCGAGTTCCCGCACAAGTTCATGTAATGAATTTCTCTAAGTTACTCAACGATCATGCCTTCCAATACGATTTCACGCAAATGGATGTCAAAATAATTGCTAAAGTGGCTGAACAGAGTATATCAGCGGCCACAACACAAACATTATGCCAGCTTCAAAACGTGCACCATAACATCAACTAATTAATAATTTAAATTGCAGTTCCCAGCATTCATGCCATTGCTGTTCAGATAAGTAAACGTTCAAGGCCATCAACGTTGTTGACAGGTTAACTCAAGTACTTTACATGAAGGACTATTCATTCTATTGCTTTAACTGGCAGGTTAGGAATCAACTGAATAAAATATGAAATTCACTCAAATTTAAAAGCGTCTTACCCCAACACAAATCAGTAAAGAAAACACACAAATACATCCGTCAAGAAAAGATAAACGCACAATGCTGTTTCGGTGCAGAACTTTCCGTTCAACATCAGCTGTTGCATTTGTTTGTCAACAACAGTTATTGTCGCTGTATGTAGATAAAATGGGACCTTTGCTACAACCTAAACATTGGCTATTGTCAGACACGTAACCACTTATCTTTCACGACAAAAGTATTGGTCGACACAGGGCAACGTAATACAACATTCAAAACATTGGAAGTACTGTTTTAATCACGTCAATTCAATAATAAGCGGACACATGGCACTGAGTTTATAAATTGTGAACAGACTGTCGATATGGAGTCATCATATATTTACAAACCAAATCATTTGAGATGAATAGTTAGACACGAATCACTTTAACAAAACCATATCCGCAACAAATGCACAATGACGTTAAAAAACTTCAATTTTCACCAAGATACAACGTAACCGGATAGTAGGCAGAACATTTTTTCCTAGTATTACAACTAAAGTATTGTTCATTGTTTGACACTTAACCACTTATAACTCCCAAAAGAAGATACAATGAAGCACACGTTAGACAACGTTTCAGTTCATCGAGCCGCAGGCAGACGCAATTAGACACCACGTTAAAACACCTAATCATATTACCACACCCAAAATACAGGTGATCAAATCGTCCGACACACGCAGATTTATGAAATCACATGTTTACGTCACATATCAATAAAGTTGCAGAAGGTGCAATGATACGTAAGACAACTTTTGAGTTCATCGATACGCAATTGGACACCACGTTAGAACACGTAATCATATTACCACAACCAAAACACAGGTGATCAAATCGTCTGTCACACAGATTTAGGAAAGCACATGCTTACGTCACAAGTCAACAAAGGTACATTGGCATGTAAGTCAACTTTTTCAGTTCATCGAGACGCACCTGGACAAAACATTAGAGACCCAAATCACAGGTGATCAACACACCGATTTAGAAAGCACGTGTTGACGAGAGACGAGAGCCCACGCACGCAGCTAAGCCGTCGGCCCGATAACCTCACTCACCTGCGCGACGAGGCTGCCCTGCAGCTCCTCCTGGCGGTCGCCCTTCTGCCCCTGGGCGGCCACGGCGGCCAGCGCCAACGCGTAATCGCGGTCGCACTTGAGTTTGGCGGCCACGCACCGGCGCACGGTGTCGAGCAGGCGCAGCTCGGCGTCGTGGCGCGCCAACAGCGCCTCGGGAGCGGCGCGTGCCGCCGCCCCCGCGCCAACCCCGGTGGCGCGCGCCACCATCGCGCCAACGCCGGCACGGACTCGCTCCGCAGCTCCGCGCACGTCTACCTCTCGCTTCGTTCGCTCGGTCGCTCGACTGGCGGGTGTTTTCGGATCGCGCCGCCTCACCTGCACCGCGGCCCCGGCCGCACTGACGACCGCGTGCGGCCGGTGCGCGCCGATCGCCGCTAGAGCGCGGGCACGGAGCCGCGACTGCAGCGCGCGCGTGGGCGGACGCTGAACTAAGGTGTCCCCCGCGTGGTTTGACGCGTCGGTAGGGAGCGACACGAATTGAATATCCAAAGTTAACTTTCTTTCTACCCAAATATTCTAAATAACTTAACACACAATTATATAAGTAATATACAATCCAAAACGTCGGTTAATTGTTTTTTTTAAAATAAGGCTAGCAAGTTTCTGTTAACTCGGAGAGCAAGCTACATATTTTCTAACACAATTTAATTGCGTAGGAGCCTTCTATATGAATGAATGATATTCAACTAAAAAGTTAATAAGTAAACGTAAAAGTTTGTCAGTTCATTAATTAAAACAGTCTTGGAGAGGCTAATTCTCACAATTATGACGATGCATTGCAGTTACGTTTCCAATTTATTATTACATCATCTTTCTTATCCGTCTTCTTACAATAAACCAAGGAAGTTAAGAAATTTTAAGAAAGTTCCTTTACATGAATGTTCTCCATATCACCAAAAAAGCGACAAACGAATGATTTATTGTTTTATATTTACAGTGTGGCGTATACTCCACACCTGCTCAAATATTACCAATTAAATGAAAATGAATATCAATCAGTGTCAATCTAAAGCAAACAAAATGTATATAATTTTACTAATTTTATTTTATATAATTTATTTTTCAAAATATTTTTATTGTAAACCTGAAGATGTACTTACATTATACCACGCAACGTACTATACTTTTATTAATGAAAATAAATTTCTCATGAACTAATGATTTGTTTTAGTTTTTGATTGATTATAATTGGAAACGTCTGTTCTCTTATATCTATTATTTTCTTCTTCTGTCTGTTTTTCTTGATTTTTTCCTTAAAAAACGTTTGTTGACAGCTGGTTCTGACTCAGCGACTGGCCAACAAACTTTCCTTAACCTAAGTTTACGATGTGTACAAATCACCTTTTTTCATGATTTCGGTTAATATAAGAAATAGCTGTCTTTTCAGTCTCAAGTTCCATAATTCTTCTTCAGACCCACATTTCCATGTTTTGCTGCCAGAAATATATTTCATATGAAGGATTTCTTTTTTTGAATATTTGTCCTTCCAGTTCAACAGCAATGCTTTACGGGGGGGTTTCATTTTGAGACGATCAAACGTCAAACTAGCAACCTTCACGTATGTGATGTTAATAATGAAATAGAATTATGTAATTATATAATGTTTTTACCGTTCAGTGCTAAATTCATTTTTTTTATTGACTGGATGTTCATAGTGAACGGAACACATCCTTAGGGTATTTTGAACCTATAAGACAATTTTGTTTGTTTTACCTATACCAAATTTATCTGTGCTCGGTAAAGAAAGGGATTTCGTGAATTATTCTATTGTTGTGTATTGTTATTTGTTGAAATTTGTATATTATTGTCAACTTTTTGCCTCCTAATATGCATTAGTTAATATTTTGTTGAAATTCATGTAACGAGAGATTCTTTGAACAAAGATAAAGTTATCCTGTTTCGATATGTTATCAGAAGCTGCTGATGTCGCAAAACAGGCCGGGGTCACGGGTCGGGCGTTCGCCGCATGTGCGAGAAATATGAATTGATGGGCTATGCACGCCGTAATATACTAATTTCTGGGAATCCTCCATGAGTGATGCGACGTCGATAACAAAACAGCGATGTTAGCAATCATCGATGTTCAAAATTGAAACATCGATGTTAATAAAATATCGACCAAAAACATATTTCTCAACATCGATGTTTTAGACTGGATTACTAATATCTAACATTAAATTCGTGTGGATTAAAATTTAATTTGACAATTTTTGTGTTCTCCAATTCGCAGAATAAGAATACGAGAAGGGGCAGACCCTACACCCACAGCGTATTTGTTGACTGTATCTCAATGTCGACATGAATATGAAGAAAGAGGGCATGGAGGTCATCTCTAGCGAGAGAGTTCGGTCGTAACTTGGGTCTCAACACATGAATAACAGTGATACTACCAGTTATTATTTCATACTTTGACTTTTACAGTTTTATAATCATGGTAATTTTTTATTCAGAAACAAAACATTGGAAAAGAGAAAAACATCGATGTTAAAAACATCGGTATTAATACATCGATGTTTAATATATTGAAGTTTCTACAAAAAACATCGATGTTTTGAAGGCATCGAATTCAATGTCGCATCCCTAACCTCAATCAGCCAGTATCACGAGTACTACAAGTTGAATGGTACAGAGCAGAGATGCGCGTCTGGTGTTACGTGATCAAAGAGGGGGTCGCGAGTATTATCAAGGAGAATAGAAAAAATAATAACTGGAGGACTTTTAAATCTCAGACGTATATTTCTGCACAGTACTTTAGTTCTTACCTGACAGAAACCCGGGCTTTAAATAATTGGACTCCATTAATCTTCTATGAGTTTTACTTGTTTTTGTTTCTTTTATTATTATGTTTTACTATTGTTTATTTCTGGGATTCACTATCAGCATAGTTACAGCATTATTTTTAGATTGAATTGCCAGCATAAAAGAAAGTGGAGATAATAAAGAAGAAAAAGAAGAAGAAGAAGAAGAAGAAAAGAAGTAGAAGAAGTAGAAGAAGAAGAAGAAAAAGAAGATGATGATGATGATAGAGGAGAAAAAAGACGAAGATGAAGATAAAAAAGAGAGGAAAAGAAGAGAAAAGGAGAAAAAAGAAGAGAGAAGAAGAAAAATTGATAAAAAGGTTAAGTACATGGATAAGGAGAGAGAAAGAAGAAAAGAAAAAGAATAGAAAAGGGAAAAAAAGAAAAGGAAAGAATAAGATGGAAAAGGAGATGAAGGAGATGTCGCATTTCGCTCAATATTGTAATTTGTATTAACGAATCATGTATCCTTCTCATTTTTACTTTTCACTCACAGCAGGCGCGGATCCACGGGAGAGAAGTGAGGGAAATTTCCCCTCCCAAATTTTTTTAGTAACTATTAATTTTATCTTGACTCGAAATATTCCAACAAAAATATTTTCGAATAAAAATTAAAACGAAAAAAATGTATCGCAACATGGACTCAGTTTAGTCTGCGTCTTTCTTCATAATCTGTAATATGACACATTCGTCCAAAACATTCTGAATAAAAGAAAATCCTCTCCCAAAATTCATCTATGGATCCGCCCCTGCTGACGATGAAGGTCCGAGGGGCCTCGACAGCTTGTTATCTCATTAAAGTGAATAATAAATCCAAACAGGGTGTGATTGGTTCAAAGCAGGGTGTGGTTGATTCGTAAAAAAATGTGAGTTTTAATTTTGTGACTGAAGCACAGGAGGCACCACAAAGTACCACGTGACCAATAATATCCACCAGATCATAATACTAAACTCTTAATTGACTGGAAAAGACGAGAACAATTTGTTATTTTTTTATTTGATCTATGACCCGTCGTTGATATGGAACAACAATCAGAAATTGTTTATAGGTACTCATGTGACTTGGTCGTTTTAAAAAATGACAAATAAACTTTACGCTGTCGTGATGAATTTCTGCGTATTATGTCTCTTACAAGATATATAATATTTCCTGTCACATTCATATCAGCCTGCTGGATACTATGTATCTTTTGAGTTTCCGGCATCATCCCATACAGTTATATACTGAACATCAATTCAAAGAGAACAATCCAACGAAAATCTCAAATGCAGCGACTCTGTTAATGTCAGAAATACGAGACTGGATTAGGTATGAGGCTGTTTCCATATTCGTCGTTGTGTATGCGTTACAGCAGTTCTGATAATGTCTTCTGATTTGTTGCGACTCTTCTGGATTATGAGTGACTTGTTCGAGATGACTTCGTTCATCGTTACAACTCTTCATTCTCTTGTCATCCTACAACAAAGTACTAGTACTACAAAGTATTACTTTTCTACTTGGTTTTATACACATTGCGGGAGTATATTACGCAGTTCAAAATATGGCTGTCACTGTTAATTCGCATATTCGCCGAGCGATGAGGATAAACCTGTACGAATGACAATGAACGGATAATTTCAGATTTTATAGTGCTAATGTTGACATAAGCCAAAGGGCGCTGGCTATATTAAAAAAATGATCCGAATGTGAGGCCCTTTGAGTGTGCGAGAAGTGTTTTTCGACCAGTCAAATTAGGCCAACAACTGGGGATTGAAGGAAAAAAATGGCATTTTGGAACTTGCATATTTTGTAAACTTTGCATAGTTTACAGATAAAAAACATTATCATTTTATATCATATCATAATTTAATTTTGTACATTCTTGCGAGAATCCGACGTCTTTGGGCCCGAGATTACCTCGAGTACGAAAACTGATACTCCATAGTTTATTTAATAAGAATCGACAACAAATATTTGGTACAGGATTGTGTACTCTGTCAACGTAAATTACATAAAATATTATACGAGTAAAAGTATCATAAATGGAATAACCCCATTTACCGCGTATATGGAGTGCCAACTAAAATAGAGTGTCAATGACGAACGTCACACTCATTGTTTGATGAAGGGATCCAATTATTGCCGAATTGAGGGAGGCTCCATTATTGCTAATATTTTCGGTTGCTTAGGGCATAAAACATGATGCACCAACAATTTGTTCGGAAATTGTTGAATTTCGGCCAAATGCACTGTCGAATATATATAAATTCCATTAATGAAATAATATGTCCATTAAAACGTTATGAATTTGTCCTACTTTTGATGTTTTCAAATCCAGAATAATATTTTCTGATAATTTTACATATGGATTCATTGTTTTTTAAAATTGTTTTATTACATATTATACAATAAATATTTCATTACAAAATCACACACTGCGCTAATGACGCTGGCTGTTAATTAAAAGGGTAAAATATTTCTGTGGACACAATATTTTACTTTAAATGTGATCGTGACTGAATGTGAAATGTGAGGTAAAATAAATTTTAAAATCTACCATTCCCCTTAGTAATACAATATTATATGTTTCATATCCTCAAAATGAAAATGAATATCTGTGTAATTTGAAGTTTACGAAGTTCATGAATCAAATAATAATAAAATACAGATTGAATACTACAAACCCTTTCACTTCACCAATTACATGGGGTATTTGTCTTGATAATCACATACAAAATGCTGTAATGTGAAGGTGAAATGTTTCAATTGAAATAAGTTTTTCTTAATATATTCCTGTTATTCTATTTGAAGAAAATACATTTTTAAACAACTCATATTACAATACAAAACAATAATGTTTCAAATCAACAAAATTACGATATCTTACAATAAAATGAAAATAAACCTCCGCAAGTAATGTAAAATCGATTAAGCTCATTAAGTTGATAGTTACAGAAAATAGAGATCAATTTACACCATGTACATTGCCGCATAGGGTCTGTGATTCAGGTATTTTGAATTGTTTGGTAAATTAACTTATTCTATCATGGTGATATATTTACTCATATCACATTTCCTGCAAATGGTAATTTTGGAGCATGCACGCTCATGAGTGAATCACTTGTGAGTGCCCTTCAAAATCAAGTATGGGCAATAATAATAATAATCATGGAGTTCCATTATATGAAAATACATTTAAAATGGGCAAACCTTTTGTAAATTTCTTTAGTATGTTTGTATTAACAGTTATTCACAAAATCTCTAACAATTCTCCGAAAATAATTCATAATTTAGAAATCACTCAAAAGAAATTATTCAAATAAATTTAAGATAACTTATGAAGAATAATAATAAGTGATGACTGAAATACAAAAAAAAACTTAATCCACAACTTTCTTCCACGTTTTACTGGAAATGGCTCTGACACAATATTAAAAAAATTAATGTAATTTTGTATATTAAGAAGAAAACACATAGTAGAACCGCACACGACCAACACGGAATTAGTTATTGATGCTACGTGTATGAATTATTCCAATACTTAATTGAATTAATATTAATACTTAAAAAGTTTTAAGAATCGTTTAGTGTATGCACCATAATGAAATTTCATGTCATGAATGGAGAGTCTCCGCATTCAAGAAACATGAAAATGACTAGAAACATTTACAAACGCAATAGGCCACTATTTGTCGTTGATAATGGAAGTTTTCTTCCAACTTCCTAGCTTAAAATTATCGAATATTTATTCCATTTCAGAATTTGCACAATAATGATTTACTTACCATAAGGTTGTAAGTAATTACTTACATTGACTTATATACACTTTAAAAAAGTATAACTTAATTACTTTTGGATTGTAATTCACTATTGTCTCACATAAAATATTGTGACTGTAATATTATAATACATGTGTTGAAATTAAAGAAATATCTCGGTTTAAATTTGAATTATTGCTCCTTGTGACCTTCAATTTTATGGAATGCTTTAAAACGAATGAATGATTGAATGAATATCAGCTTCAGTATTCTTTCTTCAGTCTTGAGAATCTCTTTTTGATGTCTGCATCACGTCCCTGGGTATGTCTACTCCTTTATTGCTCGGTGCCAGCACGTACACTGGGTTCATAAACTGGTTCGATACTGCAAACGAATAAAGGATAAGTATACTTTTCAGACATTTATAATTGACAAATAAGAAGGATGCACACATTCGAAACTTTATTAAAAAATGAAGATTCATAATTTAGATTATTTTCTGTTTTGTGTAAATAAAGAATAAATAAAAACTCTCAACAAAAACATTAAAAATATGTAATTTTAGGAATGATGTATCCTGGTTTGATAATTTTTTTCATAACGTTCTGTTGCTTGTAATAGTCATTGCCACATCATCTCAAATGAGTAAAGTGACAGATGCGCGTTTGACAAAGAAGCATTTCCTGCCCTCTATGCTGTCTGTGGTGTGACCACATTCCAAAGCGCTGCAGCTGATGCGGAAAGCGAATTACTGAAGATCGTTACTGTGTAAAATTGGCATTTTAAAGGACCTTATGTTACATCTTATGAATGAATCTCCATAAGTTGAAATAATTTGAAAATAGACAAAGATAGAAAATTTCACATCTGAATATGTGCTTGTTGAACTATTCCAATAGGAAGTTTATGAAGCAAGTTTAACGTTTGATGAGCTACAGATGCGATATCGAAACAAAACATCGATGTTTCTAAACATAGATGCTCAAAATTAAAACATCAATTTTACTAAAAACATCGACCCAAAACCATCAATGTTAATAAATATCTATGTTTTCAAAGAGGCTGTTAATTATTAATAATAAGTAAAACTGGATAAGTAATCACTTAATACACGCTTCTATAAAACCCATCTCTAGAAAGTAAATTGTATTACATTATTATAATTTCGAATATTAGTTTAATGTATACTTTACGTAAGTAAAGTTCCAAAGGTAAACTGTGTTGTGTGTGTGTATGTGTGTGTGTGTGTGTGTGTGAGAGAGAGAGAGAGAGAGAGAGAGAGAGAGAGAGAGAGAGAGAGAGAGAGAGAGAGTTAAACTTTTTTTGTGGAGGCAGGGTTGAAATAAATTGAGTTCGTCATATTAAGGGAGTTGAAGTTATCTGTAACAATTGTGGCAAAGGGGGGGGGAAGTCAAAAAAGACCTCGAAGAAGCGTGACATAGTTTGTGGACAGCCTACTGTACGAGCTTTCAGTGTAATCTGCGTCCTGCCGTAGCAGCTGGGTCTGCACTAACTAAAACGCCCGCCGAAACCCGTTTCACTCAAGTAGTAAATTTATAAAGGACTAGCGCTTACCCACGGGGCGGCCGTAGCGGCTGGGCCTGCGCCTGGCGCGCAGCGGCATCTGGCGGCGGCGCCGGCACCAGCACACGACGGCGCCGGCGGCGGGCGCCAGCAGCAGCACCAGCACCAGCGCGGCCAGCGACCCCCACAGCGGCAGGTGGTGCGTGTCGGCCCACCACGGCCCCGCCTCCGCCCCCGCCTTCGCCACCGCCTCGCACGCGCCGCCGCCCGGCCCGCGCGCCGCCCCCTGCGAGCAGCGGCACTCCCCCGGCGCCACGCACGCGCCCAGCCCGCACCTGCCGCACAGCCAAACCACAGCGCGGTTGGAGGACGATTCCTTGGACCGTCCTCTTGACGTAAATCAGCTGTTGCGGCTTGATCCAATCGGGAGCTTATGACGCTACAGTGACGTCACTATGGGCGTTCAAGCTCCCGATTGGATGGAACCGTCAACAGCTGATTTACGTCAAGTGCACGGTTCAAGAAATCCTACTATAACAATGGAGACGCCGCCATGATGTAATAGGGGTGTCCAACTTGGAAGACCTCGAGGGCCACAACTAAAATATTTCATATGTTGCGGGTCATATTTACATATTTGGACGATCCACACCTGACGACCTCGTAATGTTAATCTCGGCAGTTTGCCCTGCTGCTCTGAAACGGTGAGGGGTTCGGGAGGATGGCAGCATGCGTGATGTCAGGAACTACAGTGCATTACACAGTGAAGCACATTGGAATGATGTTGAATTTCTGAATTCACAGGAAAAATCCTTAAATTTAAACATATCCTATGTTTACATTAAAAGAACAGGGCTCAAGCGCTCGGCGCGAAACTTTCGAGCCCGACAAGGATACACAACGGGCACAATAAATGGCACAACAGGCTGCATGCGGTTGGACAACCCTGAGGAAGCATATAGAATCAAGATGTATCAGATGTGTCGAACCAATTCCAAAGCGGGAAATATGTATGCATTAGGAGTACAGTCAGGGGAGAAGGCAAATAAATAAAACAAATCGCAGAGCGGCTGCTTCAAGCAGAAGACGAAACAACGGGAGGTTAGAGAAAGGTAAAAATATTAAGAAACGTTTTATTTGGTATTTTCAGCGAAGGGGGGAAATAAGATATATTTTTAGTTATTTCTGTAATAAATCAAGTATTAAGAACCTTTTCAGTTCTATTAGGATAATATAATATATATCGAATACGACGATTTCTAAACATTTCGTTATTCTTAAACTAAAAATAATTTGACATGAATGTTCTGCAGATATGTAATGTTTACAACAACAACTGGAGAAACAACCAGAATAATGATAATGATAATGATAATAATAATAATAATAATAATAATAATAATAATAATAATAATAATAATAATAATAATAAACATGTTATTAGATACATAAAACAAATTAAAATAATAATAAATGCATTTATTATTACAGTTATTGATCTTTTCATAATTTAAAGTATATAACGCATTTTTATAGAATTTCCGAATTTTTCATACTATGTAGCTCGAATGAAAAATGTTTCCCCGACAAATTACCCATCATTTCCCTTGCAAATTTTTCCTACAACTCCATCCGTATGACTTCCGTAAAAGCTTTTGTGAAAAAAGGATGTGTATTAAAGCCTATATCACACATGTTTATCAATACTTTAGACATTTAAACATTTTACAATAGAAATAAGATATTTTACGAATCAGATACGTAAGGAATTGAAAAGGAAAGGTCTGTATTACCCCTCAAGATAACATTCCTCATTCGAAAACAATTATAATGATCAATTCTGAATTATTACTCTGCGTTAAACAAAACAATGGGTAGTTATCACAAACAACGAATTAAGTCAATATACAGTAAATACCTCAATGTTTCAATTAACCAAATCTTATGAATCATGATTTTTTAAATACTTTGCTATTAAAATTAATTTTGAAATGTAATTAATTATCAAACTACCGTAATGAAAACAGAGTAAACAATATAATATTCTTAATGTATGGAATATTAACACTTATTAATGTTCGACATTTGTACCTCAAAATTGCAACTTATATTTAAAAGATTATTTCGTAAATCTCTAATGAAGATATATTGAATGAAAGAAGAAATGATGAAAGAAGAAATGTTGAAAGAAGAAATGTTGAAAGAAGAAATAACGAAATATTGAATGAACTGAAGGAAATAATGCACTTTCCTTTATATTCTTTTTATCAGAACTACACTCAATGTAGGCAGTACGCATGCAAATATAGACACTTACCCTTTGGGACAATGTGGCTCGCAGGCTGTCGCAGAAGACACTCGGAAACCCTCCAAACACGTGCACGTGTCAGGCGCTGTGCACGTCCCATTGACGCAATCAGTTCTGCACACCGGCACGCACGAAGCATTGTCTCTGAGGTCCATTACGTAGCCCTTCCAACAAGAACACACATCAGGATCGACACATTCACCGTTCGTGCAACCACGGGGACATTCCGGAACACAGCTTGACGGATCCGTTGAATGCGGAACATAACCGTGCAGACACGTGCATGTGTTAGGAGCAGTGCACGTGGCGTGTTTGCACCCCCCAGGGCAATGCGGCTCGCAGAAATACGGATCCCGCACCCTTCTCTCGAAGCCCGCATGGCACGTGCACTCGGACGGTGCAGTGCACTCCGCGTTCACGCACAGATCGTCGCAGTCGGGGATGCACATGGCTTTGTCGATCGAGTCCTTCACGTGCCCGGAGAAGCACGTGCACTCGTTCGGGGCAGTACACGTGCTGTTGATGCACTCCCGATCGCAGCGTGGCACACATGTTCCTGCGTCCTTTGGGTCTTTTACGTACCCTTTGAAGCACGTGCACGTGTTCGGCGCTGAGCATTCAGCGTTCCGACATCCTCCCGGGCAGTTGGGGTAGCACGTGCTGCTGTCCCTGCGGTCCTTGATGAAGCCGGGAAAACAGGTACAGTGGCCTGGGGAGGTGCACGTAGAGTTCTTGCAACTAATTGGACAATGTGGTTTACATATGTTGTCGTTATCTGGGTCCTTTGAAAATCCGGGTAAGCAGGTGCATGTATTGGGCGCTGAACAGAACGCATTCTCACAAGGCTTCTGACAGTGTGGGCGGCAAAATACATTCTCTAATCCATCTGGTAAATAGCCTTCTAGACAAGTGCAGGTATTAGGAGCTGTGCACAGAGCGTTCACACACTCATTCTCGCAATGAGGTACGCAGAAGTTGTCATCCGTTTTGTTCTTAACATATCCAGACAAACACGTGCACGTTCCCGGAGAGGTGCATGCACTGTTTTGACATCCACCTGGGCAGCTAGGAATACACGAAGATTTGTCTTTCGGGTTTTTCTCGAATCCACTGATGCAGGTGCAAACCCCTGGAGACGTACAAGTGGAGTTTTTGCAGCCGGAGGGGCAATGTGGAACGCACACGTTTTGGTCTTCAGCGTTCTTTACAAATCCGGAGAAACACGTGCATTTGTTTGGAGATGTGCACGTACTATTAATGCACCTCGGCTGGCACTGGGGTACGCAGACCGATGCATTTCTTGAATCTTTTACATAACCCGGTAAACACACACATTTTCCCGGTGCCGTGCAAGTCCCGTTTGCGCACCCATCTGGGCAATGCGGTTCACACCCATTGGGATCACCGGGGGCCTTCACGTAACCAGGCAGACAAGTGCACGTTCCAGGCGCAGTACAGGCGGCGTTCCTACATCCGCCATCGCAATGCGGAATGCAAGCAGACTTGTCCCGTGGATCTTTCTTAAAGCCAGACAGGCACGTGCACGTGGATGGAGCCGTACATTTTGCGTTCTTGCATGCACGAGGGCAAAATGGATTGCATTTAGTGCTCAACGAGTCATCTGGAATGTATCCAGGCAAGCAAGAACACTCTCCGGGAGCTGTGCATTTCGAGTTCACGCATGGCACAGCGCAATGTGGTTCACATGCAGAAGATGAGTTGGGTTTCTTTATATAACCAATGAGACACGAACAAATACCTGGCGCGGCGCACAAGGCATTTTTACATCCTTGAGGACAATGCGGAATACAGGTAGTATTGTCTGCGGCACTTTTAAAGTAGCCAGGTAAACACGTGCATGTACTAGGTGCAGTACAAGTGGCATTTTGGCATCTGCTTGGGCAAACGGGCAAGCACGTGGATTCGTCTGTCCGATGTTTCTCATAGCCAGGTTTACAAGTGCACATATTTGGAGAAGTACAAAGAGCATTTTTGCACTCTCGAGGGCAGTGGGGTAAACATATAGAGTCATTAGTGGCATCCTTCACATAGCCAGGTTTACAAGTACAAATATTCGGCGACGTACACATGGCATTACTGCATCCCTTTGGACAATGCGGTTTACATGCTGATTTGTCGCTCTCGTCTTTTATATAACCAGATAAACAAGAGCATACGCCTGGCGATGTACAAGTTGCATTTTTGCAGCCAGTCGGGCAGTTAGGGTTACATATTGAAGGATTACTGCGATTCTTGATATATCCAGGAAGACAAGTGCATGTTCCAGGAGAAGTACACAAAGCATTTTTGCATGGAGTTGAACAATGTGGTACACACGTGCTGTTATCATCCGCTTTCATTACATAGCCCGGTAAGCACGTGCACGTATTCGGCGACGTACATAAAGAGTTGCGACACCCCCTCGGACAGTGAGGCACACATGTATTGGTATCCCTGGCATCTTTCGTGTACCCCGGAATACAGCTACACGTGTCCGGTGCAGTGCAGGTAGCATTCCTGCACCGGGTCGCACAGAACGGCAAACACGCCGTCGGGTCCTTGGGGTCGGGTCGGTAGCCGGGGAGGCACGTGCACGTGTCGGGCGCGGAGCACGTGGCGTTCCGACAGCCGGCGGTGCACCGCGGGGCGCACGTGCCGCGTTCCTCCGGGTGCGGGTCGTAGCCCCGGCGGCACGTGCACGTGTCGGGGGCGGTGCAGTCGCCGTGGCGGCAGCCACTGGCGCAGAAGGGGCGGCACGTGGAGGCGTCGGCGGGGTCGAGCGCGTGGCCCGCGATGCACGCGCACAGGTTGGGCGCCACGCACGTGGCGTTGCGGCACGGCCGCGGGCACACGGGGCGGCACGCGCCCACGCGCGAGTGGTCCACCTGCAAGAGGCAACGGCGCCATTCCTTAAAACGCTTCGAATTCAGCAAAACTAGAGGTGCTAAAACTGCACGTACTTTCCAGCTCTTATTTTCAACCAAAATTACGTACTCAATTACGTAAGTATTTGAGTAATTAGTAAGTACTCAATTTTTTCTAAAAAATTTACATAATCCTATTTGAAAATCTCTTTAAGGAACAGATTTCATTAAGGGGAAAAAATCTCTATCTTCATAACAGTTGTTGTAGAAAGACGCCGACAAAAATTGAACTTTCGCAATTTTTGAAAAATCAAGGTCTTTATCGAACATGAGACCTGCACCATTCTCTTAAACACCCTTCGTACTACTCAATAATAAAGTTTAATCAAAACGTTGAAGCAATTTTTTTAAATTTAGGGAAAGGTATCCCAAGGGATTCATGTAAAATACCCTCCCCCCAAATTAATATATCAGTTTATCAAAATATCAATTTAAAATTCAAGGGACTGCGAAATCAGCCAGATCGATAGGGCAATATCCGTTTCGGCAAAATAGGTTAAATTGTTTAGCCGCTAACGTTGTTCACAGACGGACCGACGTTTCGCCGACATTCTATTTTTCGGTATCGGAGACCCACCACACATGGATTCTGACTAAACCATGTGTTAGGGATTTTTGTTTTGTTTCCTTTTTTCTTATAAATTTAACAACTGGATTTATCCACTTTTGCGATGCCATGTAATACGAGTTTTTCAGCCGAAAATTTGCTGTTTGTTCGCGTAGAAGTACATAACTCTCTTTCAATTGCGTAAACGGTGTCGAGAAAGTAATTAGTGCTGTTGTTTCTACAAACTAAGCGGTACATCGCTGGAGACAGATCTCTATTTCAGACTTGATTGTGACATTTTGTATGGTGTTGACTTTAATAACATTTTTATTGACAAGATGAGACAGTTTTAATGAGTATTCATCTTCTACAAATGTAATCAGTCGTCGAATGCTGGCTAGCGGACGGCAGAACTGGAGATTATGGCAAACCGACGAAGGCTGCTCAATAAAATAAGTTGATGGAAGAGACGAGATTAAACAGAAGAAGAAGGAAAAGACGCAGAGGGAAAAGAAGAAGGTAAAGAGGAAGAATATGGGAAGGAAAAAATGAAAAAGGAGAAGGAACGAATGCATGGAGGAGAAAAAAAGTCGAAGAAGAAGAAAGAAGAGAAAGAGAAAAATCAGAGGATGACATGCGAATAAAGATATGAAGAAGAAGAACAACAACAACAAAGAGAAGTCGAAAAAGGGAGGACGGACAAGAAGAAGAAGTATAGAGAAGAATATGCGATTGGTACGAGTCACAGCAATGTGTCGCGTGGCGGGGGTGTAAATAACTGACTCACTTTGCACACAAGACATTTTCACACTACAGATAGAATTGATTCCCTTTTCTGTTTAATAAAATAAATAACATGGAATATTAAAAGAAAACTGAAAACACTGGAAACTTCAGATGTAAATAAATACACAAAACATAAATACGTAATTTATAAATTAAGTGGAGTAGAGTGGAGAATGGAATGAAGTGTCGAGTGGAGTATCGAGTGGAGAGTCGAGTGGAGAGCCGAGTGGAGAGTCGAGTGAAGAGTCGAGTGGAAAGTCGGGAGTCGTGAGCGGATGAAGGAGAGCGGAGAGAGGAGAGCAGGGGAGTGGAGTGGAGAGTTGAGTTGAGTGGAGTGTAGAGTGGAGTGTAGAGTGGAGAGTGGAGTGGAGAGTGGAGTGGAGAGTGGAGTGGAGAGTGGAGTGGAGAGTGGAGTGGAGAGTGAAGTGGAGAGTGCAGTGGAGTGAAGAGTGCTGAGTGGAGCGTGGGGAGTGGAGTGTGGAGCGCTCACCTCCCAGCCGTCGAGGCAGCCGCACTCGCCGGGTCGCACGCAGATGCCGCGCGTGCAGCCTCCGGGGCAGACGGCGGCGCAGTCCTTCCCGCCGCGCCCCGCCGCCGCGTAGCCCTCCAGGCACCTGCGCACACCGCACGCGCGCTCACATCTGCGCCGAACGACACCACCCACACAGCAACGTCAAATTCAGCCGCTGTCTGGAGGGGAATTCTGGCGGCTGGCTGCTGTGATCGGTAGTTTCCCGTGGTTTCTCCAATCAACGCCAGGCAAATGCCAAAGCAGTACCCAAAAAACGGGCCACAGGCCGTCCTATTTCTATCTCTCACTTACACACACTTACATACACTTCACTTCCGCACATGCTGTGAGACCAGTTGGGGACGTAGAGCGTGTCCCGGCTGGGGCGGTGCCCCGCTGGTGGGAGATGCCTACGCAGGGCAAAAGCAGTCAGCAGAGGTGTAGGTCGTCGGCGGATCTTGGCATCCTGCGGGGGAAGATCATCTCTCGCGATGAAAACATCCCTACACTAACGCGACATTTGAACGGGATTATTGTCACAATCAATCAATTAATACAGGCGAGAACTCATGAGAACCGTCAAAACTATCTTCTGCTAACGTCACATTAGCGTATGAGGAACACGTGTGTTTGGAAATGGTAAAATGATTTAAAGTAACTGTACCTAAAACACAATATATTTTTTTTTAAAATTTGGGTAATAGTCCGATTCTTGAGGTACATTGTGTATTGTGAATACCGTGAATTGTAAAGTGGCATTACAATCTTTACAATTTGAAGTTGCTGCGAAGCCTAATTGCAGTGTCTTGTCTTTGAATGGATTTTGATTAGACGAGGCAACAAGTTATTTCAAAGAACGTTCTCATTTCTATTTTGAAACATTTTGATGAAATACAGACTGTTTTTAATTTTAAAAGCTAATGTGAATTATTTAGGTATCAATTTTTTATTAGAGTATGTCATGATCAACCCCTGAGTCCGATTTTTGGAGAAATTGTACTTCTTGGGGATATGAGATACGTGGACCGACACTTGCTTCATCGAAACTTACAGTGTAAATGCGATAATACGAGTTTGAAAAGAAATAAAAACGTATGTACTAAATAAATGTTTAAGTATTTAGAGAAACAAAAATTGCAAATTCTCTCTCTCTCTCCTTGTACTAAATTAATTATATAAACAATTTAACGTCGAATTATTCACGATCATTTACAATTTCATTGTTTTGTGGGAAGTGTTTCCTTCATCTTATCTATTAAACCCCTTCACCCTTTGCGCTAGTTAAACATAGTTTCGAAGATTTTGTTCAAAAAGATGCACTGAAATGGATAGAGTAGAAGTCGGCCGACCCTCTTCTTATAAAGGAATGAGGAAGAGGCTGCTAACTACTCGCTCCCAAACTACTTGTCAGCCAATTCAGTGAAAACATATAGTATGAAATACATACATTCAGAATATCTCTCGTTTTGTAGTATACATTGAAGAGCCCCGATATCAGATGACTGCTAAGACGCAGATCAACATATCGTAAGAAAAAACCTTCTACGAGTATACCATTTCGATTACAAAACATTTCTGGGTTCCTCAAAACTATTGAGGTCGTCTTGTGGTCTCTGTCTGATTCATTCTCCATACTTCATATGGAAAAGGACGTTTTCCACAAACTCTATAAATAGAAAACACGCAACACACAGTAAACACACACATGTGCAAGCAAGCGTGCGCAGAATTACGAATATGTTCTCGACCCGTTTGGACTTGCTTATGGACTTAAATCACCCTCCAACCATTCACATAGACACATATACGCGCTCGCATATAAACACACTCATTGCCACACTGGACGTTTTTACCTGATCAAATGAACACGATATATTTTACGCACAGTTTCTCCGTCGCAAAAACACTAATCCAAAGAGAAAGACGCGTACAACCAACAGACGAACACGAACAAACAACACGCATGAGAACAACGAGGATGGTCACGAAATCAAAGATCTTTTGGCTAAGATCTGAATCTCAAGGATTCTTAGTTAATACTATTGTTCACATTTCCACTATCAGTATACAATAATTAACTTAAATGAGTCGCCTGCACACATCCAGTTTGACGCACTCTACGATGAAGGAACCTTGAGTTCTGAGCGGCCAGCAGTCTCCATCGCCGATGTGATCCTCCAAGAATTGTTCACACTCCTACAGACACACGGGGAGAGTTCACAAGCTCTGATAATCATTCCTCTCGTAGGCGTACTCTCTCTGATGTACGTATACCCTTCAACCTGGCCATGAACGACCAAAACGAATCCTAAAAATGCACAACAAATGCCAACGACTGACTCAAACAATGAACCCGCATAAAATACACGTCACTCCTGCACCCGTAAATGACAGCAGTCATAAACGTATGGCTCTCAACATGGATCACTTTTCTGTAATAAAAATTTTATTGCGTACTAAGCTTATTTCCAATGTGATTAATTTAGAGATATTACAATCAGTCGTACAAGCGACATTCCAATATGTCTCTGATGGAACACGATGGCCCATTGAGGCAGAACGTTACACAGAATCCGAGGCAAAGCAAAGCTCCGGTTCGTGTCTCCACTCAGATATGTAATGCGAGACTGAATATTGACCCCGTCGCCGTATTGTGTCACTACAGATTTGCTCAAAGGCATATTATGCTAAATGTCAATGATTCCTCAGAAAATCTACTTTTTCAACGTAAAGCTGATGAGAAATACTGGAATATTAATCGGGAACGAATATTAAGAACAAAACATTTGACATCAAGCTTACTTGAACGCCTTTATTTATATTTATTCGCCTTTTCAAAGTTCCCCAATAATAATGTATAATATTCAATACGTACCTTTGTGAGCCAATATTTACACCGACGGTGTGATAAGTAATAGTATCACATTTAATAATGATTATATTTATTATAGATTGATTATAATATCACACATCGCGGAGACATTTTGGTACAAATTTAGGAGAAATACCGGATTTTTTAAAAGCTTTTATCCTTTTTAAAATTGAATAGAATCGTTTTTGTACAGGACTTGAAGTTAAAGAGTTAGAGAGAAAAAACAGACAGAAGTAAAATTTAAAAAAATAAAAAAACATATATTTTTCGATCCTTCCGGAGTTAACACAGGGCCGAGGTGATTGAAAACTCGCAGTTTTACCTAGTACGTGGGTACATATAACATTTAAAAAAAATGTTTTATGACTGTTCTCTAGGTACCCTCCTTTTTCAGTACCTACCGACTGGACTAATACTTTCTGGAGAGAAATGGGAGCAAACAGAGGAAACAGATTGCTGAACAACCATGAACGAATACGAATTACGAACACGAACAACGAACACGAACGACAACCACGAACACCGAATACGAGCTACAACAACGAACAAGTAATACGAACACCAATCCCATCAATGAACTCAAACACAAACAACGTCCAAGAACAACGAATACGAACAACGAACCTGAGCAACAAACACGCATTCACACAACCCCTTACGTGGAAGACACTCATTCCCCTTCACATTTCCACCGCCCCCAGAGAAGTTTCGCTGACGTCCGTCGCCATCGCGCGGGACTCACCTGCACGTCTCTGGCGCGACGCACTCGCCGTTGAGGCAGCCGCCGCTGCAGAGCGGCTGGCAGCCTGCGCGCGCGTCCTCGGCCTCGCGGTAGCCCTCGGCGCAGGCGCACACGTCGGGCGCGGTGCAGCGCGCGCGCGCGGGGCAGGGCGGGTCGCAGCGCGGCCGGCAGTCGGACGTGTCCCCCGCCGCCGGCTCGTAGCCCGCGAAGCACGCGCACGTGTCGGGCCCCACGCAGCGCCCGTTGCGGCAGCCACGCGCGCACCGGAACACGCACACGCCGCCGGACATCTGAGGCACGCGCGGGTAACGAGACGAGCATGCTTTCACGAGGCGCTCCCTGGGTTCGTTAGGGTGATTTTACTAGCCGATTCCAACTCGAATCAGACACGCCGAGTTAAGCAGCAAGCAGGGGTTTACCAGGCGGCTTACCGCTAGTGGTACGCAAAAGGTAATTCAGATGGGACGTAACCTGGTACGGGGGATATGCATTAAAATAGATAACCTATAGTTAATTGAATTTGAATGTTAGTGGCAATTAGTGAATGCAACTCTGCATGTTTAAACTTACATTGATGCGTGCATTTAAAAGTCTACTGTTTCCAGCTGCGTACATTCAAATACTATTCGCATTGTTGTTCAACAATTTCGGTTGAAATACAATGTAGGAGGGCCATACAAAATTCTTTGTATAGCCCTCCTTTCGCCCATTGTAGACGTTTAGAGAACTGAGGTCCCAATTTTTGTCCGTTTGAGTTTTTTGGACAAAATATCCTCGAGTTACAGGTATTTCAAAATGGTACGACAAAACCCCCGTGAATGTTACATGGTACACTCTATGCAAATACTGTGAACCCATGGCTTACAGTGTTCCCAACAAATTGGGTGGCTCAAAGTTATCGCGCAGAACACCCCACCTCCCAAATCCGACTGATCCACCGCCTTCTACGCCGCCACCACCGCATTTTGAAAGAGGAAGGCGCGGGCAATGTGATCACGGTGGAGGAGGGCTCCTCGCACATGACCTCGCCGATATTTCCTACCATAGCTTGCGGAGTAGTAAAACCTTCGAGGGGTACGCTTGCCTCGGGAGATGCTGAGGAATCCCCTTGACTGCTTTCGCCCAACGTGAGATTCGGGGGCTCAAGGATACGTCAGCAGTTTATTTGTCTCCCTTATACCAATAAAAGGGAAGGATATGCCTGGCTCACCTCATACGAAGGAAAAGTTCTAGTTCTTGCTAACCTTTCTTTGTTGGCGCTTTTATTTATTCATAATTTAACTATGTGCAGTAACAGGCTGTGGAAAAGATAGTAGGGCCCATGAAAACATGCGCAGATTATACATCTCCCTCATACGTAACATCTTCTACTATTTTTGACGAAAACCAACGAAAGGGTAAGAAATGCGTGGCTTACCTCGTACGAACAAAAATATATAGTTTTTAAATGTTGCTAACCTTACTTTGTTGGCACTTTTATTTACTCATCATTCAACTTTATACAGTAACAGACTGGGGATGAGATTCTGGGGCCTAAGAAAAGGTTTCCCCTTCCCCTGAAATTATGTTCACGAAAATCAATGAAAGGGAAATGCGTGGCTTACGTCGTACGAAAGAAAATATCTACGTTTTAAATGTTGCTAACCATGCTTTATCGGAACTTTTAGTTACTCATCATTCAACTATGTATAGTAACAGTGTGAGAAAGAGATTCAAAGCCCAAGAAAACGTGTGCGGATTATACGTCTCCCCATACGCCATTTCCAGTTTCTACTGCGCTTTGACGAAAACACTTGAAAGGGAAGGAAATGCTTGGCTCAACGAACATTTCTAGTTTTAAATGCTGCTCTTTTGGGAGTATGTTTTCTCGTCATTCACCCACGTACCTGTATGTATATATATATATATATATATATATATA